AATAATAATAATAATAATAATAATAATAATAATAATAATAATAATAATAATAATATCACATCTCTTATCCATAAGTAAATTCATAAGTCGTTTCAGTTCAGTTCAGTTCTGGTATTAGCAAAATTCCATTACGTTTTACCAGAAATAACAACATAACTCCTAGGAAATTAAACTTTTCACAAACCCTGGTATTTGAATAATGTTGTATTTATTTTTAGCATAATGGAAACTTCAGAATATTTTCAGTTTTTAGTCTAAGAATAGGAAGATTTATATGAAAATTGGGACCAAACTCAGGGATAACATTTAAACAGTGATAGATTTGATCTATAATGGAATTGAAAATTGTGAATTGAATAGATTTCTTAGTGGCCTATTAATTCCAAGTTTTTATGACATCACTAAATACACTTCCCTTGATTCTAAATATTACAGGTTCTTACTTTAACAATAATTATGACTGGAATTTCTGTTGTAAGTGATACAATCATAAAGCATAATATCAAGGACTGCATCACTTTAGCAGTGGTCATCCCAGTAGTCCCCATTGCGATTGTTAAACAAAAATCAGGCAAGAACTTCCTCGCAACTTCCCTACCAGCTTTCAACAACCCAAGTTAGTTAGCAAGCCAGCAAGGAAGTTGCAAGTCCCAGGCAGCTCGCAAACAGGCTGACAAGCAAGTAAATGGCCATGGAGATATTTATCCAAGCTATTTGCAACCTTCACTGCTGGTTTGCCCATTGATTTTGCTTGTGGAAAGCTGGCAAGGAAGATCACAGATAGTGATAATTGGGAATGCAGAAACTGCAACTTCGTGTGACCACCTGCCAAGTGCTCAGATCACAATCACATGACTATGGGGGTTGTGTGATGGCCAGAACTTTGATGACCAGTGCTAAATACCACTTGTTCAGCAACTTCAAACAGTTGCTGAACGAATGATCAATAAATGTTTATAACAATTATTGAATTGCTTGAAACCAGCTGAACTGTAAGTGGCTTAGAGAAGATAAATGTTAAAAGCAAGATACAAATCCAAAATTAAATTAACATTAAAATACAGAATGTATAATGACCAAATTTAGAAGCTGTGTCATAATATGTCAGTCGCCAAAAACCCTCCAGAAGAACCCTGCTTTCTCCAGCTACTAAGAATATTTGCCATTGGCTCCTTTCATGCCACATTTCTGGTAAGGGCAACTGTTCCCTAGTTGCACGGGTTAAAATATTACATTAAATTGAGTTGAATTTCAGATTAATTTGGTTTAAATTTCTGTGCTTTCTTCTGGTAATAATAAAGTTGAGAGACTTTTATATTTAACTTTTGGTTATTCAATGAACAATTTAAACATTTGTATTACTTCGTATAGAATGGCTTAAGACAGGGGTGTCAAACTGCATCATGCCGAAACCGCGCTCACCCCATTGCCAGCAATGGGAAAAAAGTCATGATACATTGCAACACATCATGTGATGTTGCGAGTTTGACACCCCTGGCTTAAGAGATTCTTATCCTAAACAGCTGGGAATTACTACCAAATAGGAGAAAAAAAATTAATTTTCTTAAAGCAGTCAAAGCTTTCAATTACTATTGTATAGATAATTTTCTCCTTAAAAATGTTGGTATAATTTACAGTTTTATTTTAAAAAGTTCTAATACAAAAATATAGTGCTCTGAATTTTTGTAGCCTAATAATTATTTTAGAACTATCCAAAATGCAGTACACAATTCTGTAGCTGAAGAGGTTATATTTGGTTTCTATATGCTGCTTCAAGCTTGCTCTGTTTAATCATTTTTAAAGCTTAGGTGGTGTAAATTGAATTTAACACTGTAGTTGCAAGGGTGTTATACAAAAAATCCAAAAGGAAAGCTTATGGCCCTGATTCTTATTGATCTTAAACTCTGTAGCACCCTCTGTTGTCATGTGGAAGCAGTATCAGGTATACTATCTTAATCAAACTGGATATTCATCATCAAAATAGTTAAATGTACTTTATAATATAACTAAGCAAAAATTAATAGTTTAACTTTTAATTTAAAAATATCATTTTATTCCTATTTTTGTATTTCATTAAATAGTGAGTTTTGATTTATTGCAGTCATTTTTACAAATTTCTATAATATGGGATTTGTTTTATAGAAATTTCACATGTGTTGTATATAAAAGTTCAAGTTGTATGTTCCCCATAACATTTTTAATTCTTTAATTGCCATGCTTCAAATAGAAAAAAACCTGAACTTATCAGTGCTAGAATTAAAAATGTATAATTGTATGGAACAGATGTTTTCATAAATATTTGGTATAATTAATTTCAACTAGGAACAAAGCATTTGCTTTTCCTAAATTATAATGCCTTTCCCTATGCAGATAATTTTAAAATACTGTATTTAATATTGTTAATGAAACAAATCTATCTGTTTGATTTGCACAGTGAAAAAGAAAGACTGTTTTATATTTTGATCTTCAAATCAATTAGAAAAAAAATCTTTATAAAAATAAATTATAGTAAATTCTGGCTCAGCAGGAAGTTTTTTGCATTTATAATTATTAGTATTACATAGTGTTACCATACCTTTTGACCTCCCCCCCCCAACAGGGCTAAAATTCAAGAATTGTGTATGTTTTCTTCCGAGGGCTAAAATTCAAGGATTGTATATATTAGCATCATATTTGTATACTGTGTCTGCTGTTACTACAGAGAAGAAAAATATCCACTTATTCTTCTTAGATGCCAATTTACTTTCTTTGCTATTTCTGCATTTATAAAAATACCGCTTAATTGAGAGAGCATCTTTTTTAAAAAGTTTTAAAATAAGCACAGCTTAATTGTTTTACACCTGAAAGCTCAACTGCAGCTGCAAGAAATTTTGAGCAAACCAGTATTCTTGACTGATCTGTCATCTACAAAGTGTGCAAAGAAAAATAGGTAGCTGTCATTAAAATTACATTTCAGCTTTCAATAACCATTTAATGAGTAGTGTAATTATATAAGTATGGTACCTCAAGTACTTCACTCAATAATTAAAAATAATCTCATCTTTAAAGTGAAAGCTCTAATTATTATTTGACTTAACCAGGACCACTGTTATGATCTCCAGTGGCATCTCAGAATATTTTGAAGGTATAAATTAAAACTGAATAAATCATTAAATTATTAAGCTTTAGATATGCTAAAATGAAAGTATGTGGTATTTTAAAAATATGCAATTGCATTTCACAACTTCGTAATGTAAGCAACTTCTTTCCTTTTCACTTTTTTCTTCTCTAAGATCACAGATTGTGCCCTTTTAAGAATATACATACTGGTATATGATTTTTTTCTTGAGTTACTTCAGAGAAGAAACCATGGTGATTAATAATGATCAAACATTAACTATTTTTTACAAAAAAGAATGTAATATTCTTCTGGTTATATTATTTGTCCTTTCATCTTGATTTGTGAAATGTAGAAAATTGAAATTCAAAATATTTTGATTATCCAAGCAGCAAATTACTTTTCTTTAAAACTTTAATAATAAAGATCTATATGCAACTTATAAAGAGAAAAAGAGATTTTTTTCCGTTTTGACTATAAATTTATATTTTAAAGTTGTCTACAATTAATAAATAATATAGTTTGATTATTTTCCCTCACTTTATTGATGTGTCCCTATATTTAAGTAGAGAATAATATGGGCAAATGTAGTTTTTATCTTAAATCTGTGATTTTCATGACTATAATATTTCTAATCAATTAGTTCTGTGAATGGTTTTTTTTTCAAATACAATTTCAAATACAATTTTTTTCAAATTGATGACCTTCTGTTTTTCAATCTTTTAAAAAGTGGGAAAATGTGCTTAGAAGTACCTATAGAGTAATCAGTATGTTATCAATACCTAGAAAATCCTTGAAAAGATAAGCAGTAGGTTTGAAACACGTAAAAACAAACGTGATTACTAGAAACCAGTATGTTAAAGATAGACTTTGCCAAATCATACTGCTTTTTTAGATAAAATTATTATATTAATAGACCAAAAAATGTTCTGGTTTTAGAATAAGATTTCAATAACAAATTTGACAAAATTGATATTGTTTATAAAATGGAACAATGTGAGATGAATATTTTCACTGCCTGATGAATTTGCAGTTGGTTGAATTACTATACCCAAACTGTGATGCTTAATAAATTTATATCTATCGAGGGGAATATGCAGGGGATTCCTTAGGACCCTATCCTACGACCAGTGCTCTTCAACATCTTTAAAAATACCTTGGATGAGGGATAAAAGTAAAGTAATCAAATTTGGGAGATAACATAGTCTGGAGATGGAGACTTTCTTAACACCTTAAAAAACAGGCTTGAAGTTTTAATTAATAGTTTTCCCAATATCTTTTCCTCAGTGTTGTGCTGCTGCTGCTGCTTACCTTCGCTCTGGCCCATCTATCCTGATCTTTAAAGTGCCTTTCGAGAAACCTTGAATTAAGAGACTTTGTCAAATTTAATCTGCTAAGTTTGAAATCACTTACGTCTATGAAATCAAGTTTTTATTATCTTTCAGAAGAAATGTGCTACAACAATCAATCTGGAGACTAAATTGTACTGTTCATATTTTAATATTTAACATTAATGTTCATTAGAATTTATAGGGAGGGAGAAATTTATAAAATTTGATTTATCAGAGCTCTTGATTGAGCTATTAACATGATACATTTTTCAACACAATTTTACTTCTCTAATAGAATACTGTGCTTGCTTTTTTAGTATAATACAATGCAACTAAAACTTTCCATGTATAATGGTAAAGACGTTTGTAGAAAACTATTTATTGTGTAGTGCCTATTAAAAATATTTTAAGCATAGCATAGGTATTACAGGCTTTATAAATATTTCCAAAGTATGATTGTGCATATTCTCCAGTTGTACATATCTCCAACCAAAGGTATAATATTTTTATACATTCATATTCATGCATCTTGCAGTTAACATATTGAAAATTCTCATGTATGATCATTTCAGATGTGTCAAATGAAAATGGAAGAGTACAGCTTACTTTGGATACTGATGGGATCTTTTTATCATATAGGTAAGAATTCTCCAACTATTCTATCTGGACAGCTTTTCTTAAACTTACATTTATAAAGAAAGAAGAAATAAAGTATATGTCATGGTTTCGACAAATGAGACCAAATAAATCAGAACTCCGAGACAGGAAAGTTCCTCAAAGAACATGCTTATTGGGTACATAGCATCAGCACAGTCAAAAGTGAAACCAAATCTAAACTTTCCTTCCTAGAATCAAAGTAATACAATGTAACAATTCCCACCCTCTACTAATGCTATCAGTAGAACGACTTGACGGGCTTTCTGACTAAACAATCCTCCTCTTCCACTCCAGTGTGGGAATGACCTTGGTTCCCACAAGATTTGCTCGTGTTTAGACTACCAGAAATATCTTTTCCCCTCCCTTTCTTGTGGCAATCTAGAACAACAAAAATGGCTGCAGCCAGGTTTGTTGTAGACTTGACAGTATATTTGTATTTATTAAACAGATATTTTATTGTAGTAATGTTTGATGAACTTAAATCAAGTGAATCAGAAAGACAATTCAAAAACTTTTACATTGAATCTACAGCTTAAAATGGCTCATCAGGATCTCTGCTGCTGCCAGCTATTGTGATACTAACTTTGTACATACACAGTTTATTTCAAAATATAAAAGAAACATTCAGTATATTTTGGAATATCTAACATCTATAAATAAATTCACTTCCAACTCTGATCAGAGATTATCTGCCTGTGACCATCTATGGAGATCCAGGTCATGGTGGTCAGAAAAATGCTTTTTCAAAGGGCAACTGGACTTTCTTTGTTGTTTTTCCTTGAAGACATTTTGCTTTTCATTCAATTTCTTCAAAAATTGCCCATGACTGTTATTTAGATTCTTACCAATAATAATCTTGACTTCCATTAGTCTAGTTTTCAATTATTAATTTTTCAAAATATTGCCATATTTTGCAAGTAATTTCATTAAATGAACGTATATTCTGTTAATACTCTTAATATTTTGAACAATTCAAGTTTTAGATGTATTTGAGGAGTATAGGAGATACAGTTAGAGATGACAGATTGGGGAATGTTGGGTCAAGTGAGGAGTCACAGGAAATTGAACTGCATACTTTTTCAATATATTGAAAGTCAGCCAGTCAGTCACATAGTTAGATTGGATTTGGCATTTTTTTCTACCAACTGAATCCTTCCCAAGGACCTGGGATAACAAGTGTTACTGTCTGTTGGTGTTAAAGGTATCTCAGGATGTTAAATTGACCAATGGTTACAGTATTCAAGTTCAAGTAGTACTCCAGTTGTTTTGGCATTGCACCCAAGGAGCCTATTACTACTGATACTATTTTGCTTTCTTCTGCCACAGTTGTTCTATTTGCATTTGCAGGTCTTTGAATCTTGTGATTTTCTCCAGTTCTTTGTTTTCTATTCTGCTTTCCCCAGGTACTGCCATATCCGCCATCCAGACTCTTTTTTCTTTTTTTAATGACATTTGTTTAGTCTGGAATGCTTTGTGGCAGGTGCTTGTCTATTTGAATTCCCAGAGCACTTTATCTTCTTCACTTTCTATTACTTTCTTTATTTTGTGGTCCCACGAATTTTTGTGTGTAAGTAAGTGGCATTTCTTATAGATATTCCAGTGCACCATTATTTCTACTTGTTTGTAGTCAATCTGTGTGATATTTTTATAGTAGTTAGCTAGGTGGTCCACTCTTTTAGCTTCTTTGCAGAAGCAAATTTGCTGTCTATTGTTGAGTTCTCAATTCCAGGATTTGTGTGTGCATTTGTTTGGGTCTTGTGCAGAACTAGCCCTTTCGTCTCTTTCTTTCTTTCCTACTCTTAGCCATTGCCAGGTGTTCTTGTTTACTGTTTGGCCTGGTTTTTTTTTTAATGTACTGGTTAATATTTTTTCTTACCATGTATCTTTTTTTATTCATTATTTAGTCTTGTTGTATACAAGCTCCGTTCAAGTTGGTCTTCTTTCTCTTGCAGTTTTCCAAAATCATCTTGTCACTGACCCTAATCCTAACTCTTAATGTGCTGATCTTATTTTCCAACCTCATCTTCTATTTTGATAATGCATTGTTTGGCTTTTTTTTCTATTTGTTGATTTTGCAACTCAGGTATTTAGTTACAATACCTGAGCAAACCAACCAAATATGGTTGGTTTGCTTCTTGCAATGAGTTGGTGCTTATATTTCACATTATAATATTGACATCTTTTAATTCTTGTGCTAGCTGTTTCTTTGGAACAAGTTTCAATGTATGCAACCTTATTTTTTTTTTGTATATGCTGTTCTTGAAGTTGAATTATTATTTGTTTCATTTTGTCTTCTTTCTGAGGAGAAAGAAGAAGAAGGGGTGCTTCATTTGGGAATGAAAACAATTTGGTAGCTATGCTGGCTTCCCCTGGTTTACCTCTATAATAGGAGCTATTTCTGGCAAGGCTTCAATTTCTTTGCCCCAAGTTGATCTTTGCAGTTCTTCCAATTCTACTTCTGTGAATACCTTATTCCATATTTTAAAAGGATGCTTACCTGTTAGACTGTGTTCTGCTCTTACTTACTTACTTACCTTACTTATTTATTTAGTGTGTGACATCTACAGAGGTCATGCAATCATTGATATACAACACTAGTGAAACACATTATAAGGACCTGCAATCACTGATTACAACGCTAATAAAACACATTATATGGACAAATACAAATATAAGTTTAAATAAAGCATCAGCATATACATGTATGTAAAGTATGTGAACAAAACAAGACTTTGTTTTTAGTTTTTATATATTTGTGATATCTGATTTATAGTCCAGCTTTTCTTCCAGTAGTCCTGCAGCTGCTAGTTCTAATTGCTCAATCTACAATCCTGTAGCCCATTTGTCACTTCTTCTTCTTCTTCTTGTGCCATATCCGTTATCGGACGTTGGCGATCATGTTGGCGATCCCGTTTTTATCAGCAGCCGCACAAAAAAGTGCTGCTGAGTTTTGTCCAAACCAATCCCTTAGATTTTGAAACCACGATGTTCTTCTTCTGCCTGGACCTCATTTGCCTTCAATCTTTCCCTGGAGGATTAAATGGAGTATGCCGTATTTTTCTGGGTGTCGCACTACATGTCCGAAATATTCTAATTTTTGTTTCTTAATTGTTTTTATGATTTCCCTTGGCTTTCCAAGTCACTAGATATTCACAAACACCAACATTTAGTACTGTCCTTGTTGACCTGAGTGATAACTAATCCAGTATGGGTTTCTGTAAATTATGGCTCGCCATATTATTTATGGGAGAGGCATTCTTGGTCTGGTTCCTCTGATAAGATGTGTCCAGCAGGATTGAACTTTTGGCATAGGTCTTACCCAACCCACAACCATGTCAAGTTAGTGCCTCATTGGGGGCACCTTATTATGACTATTGTTGGTTGCACAGTCAGCCAGATGTTTAGACTGGATTTGGGGCCATTATTATTATTACATATATCATAGATGCCAGTTCTTTAGCTGGCGTTGGCCTTCATATATACAGTGTTTCCCTGAAAATAAGACCTATCCCAAAAATAAGTCCTAGCTTGATTTTTACGTGTGCGCCTAATATAAGCCCTACCCCAAAATAAGCCCTAGTTAAGACCACACCTACTCCATCCCACCATTTGGTTGCATGAGGTGGGGTGAGGCACACGGGAAAAAATTCTCTGCTGGTGAAACAGAGGCCGGAAGGCGACGTGCACATCAACTCAAGGCTCTGTTCTGGGCTGCAGAGGCCTTTCCTGAAGGCCTCCACCAGCGAAATGGAGGCTGGGGATGATGTGCGCGAGCGGAGGCGAGTGGCAACAGAAGAAGTAATCTGCCAGCAGTCATGCAGGCTCTGCCTGGATGGGGCTATTAGTGCTGTCACCGCAAGGCAAGACAGTGGGGGGGAAAAGACATCCCCCGAAAATAAGATCTAATGCTTCTTTTGGAGGCAAAATAAAAAAAGGTCTTATTTTCAGGAAAACACAGTATTGATTCTTTCCGAAGAACCTAGAAAGTCATAATGTTTATCAGAACAAATCCAAGCATTATGGCCTTTTGTAATTGATGGACGGATATGTTGTCAATGCACATAATTTTCTAAGTGCTGTTCATAATGTGCCGATAGGCATTTTATGCCTAATCTTTCCATTTTGATTTTCAACTCTGGATACTTTGTGATCTTCTCCAGTTGTTTTTTTTTTCTACTCTGCTAACTCCTGGTATTGCTATTGCTACATCAGTTGTCAACATTTCCTTCTTTTATCATTAATATTATTTCCTGTTTATTTATTAATTTTATTGATTATTATTTATTAATACAATGCAAGGATTAGAAGGTTATCTAACCCAAAATTCTACCTAATGGAGGAATCCATTACTATAATATCCTGTCAGATGTCCATCTAGTTTCTGTTCAAACACTTACAAAAAAGAACAGTTCAGAGTTTCTTGGAACAGTCTTTTCCAATTTTGAACAATTCTTACTATTAGACATTCTCTCTTGATCTCCAAACAAAAACTACTTTCTTTGTTGTAAGCAAAATCCATTGGTAATTGTCAAGATATTATTCAGAACACTATTGCCTCATAGTTTATATGGTAGTTTTTCAGACACTTCAATGCATATAACATGTTTCTTCACAGCCATCTCATCTCGTCTCCAAGTTGAGCACACTCAGTCAGCATCTGTAGCCATTACATACATTGTCATCTTCCTCTTTTTGATAGTGTCTTTCTAAAATAAGTGCCAAACCTGGATACAAGATAGTATAGAAAAGAACAATTACTTCTCTTACAATGGGTGTAATATTATTTTTATCTTTCTCATCTTTTTATTAGCCCCTGTTATAGGTATCATATTATGGTTATTATTACTTTGTTACTTTGCATGTACATTGAGAGCTTCTGCACCAGAGACAAATTTCTTGTGTGTCTAATCACACTTGGCCAAATATTCTGTTGTATTCTGTTCTGTTGCATTCCATTCCACCCTACCCCACCCCACCCCACT